ATTTTTTATCAGCAAATTGGATAATTTCTAGTCTCTTATGTAAACATAAGAAACAGGGTTCATTTAAAGATTTACAGGTTTTAGATATTTTTAGTATTTTCGATTTTACTGTAGGGGTTTTGTTGACTTCTTTTAAATTCCAAAAATATTTAAAAAGAGTCATCATATTTTTATAAGCGTTATTGGTGAATGATAATTGATACCAGCTAGTTTTAAAAGAATTATTAGTACTCCCAACATAAAATTTTTGTAAATGTCAGGTTTTCTATAATAGAAACAGTGCTTAGGTAAACAAGAGAGTCAGTTCGGCATAGGTTTTGCAATGGACATTCATTAGAATTTCTACAAATTACATTTGTTGGCATTACCAGTGTTTGTTGCTTTGGAATGGCTATTATTACTCAGATTTTTGTATTAGTTTAAAATTTTATTATGTTTTTTTAATAATTTTTTCAAGATTATTGCTACAGCTATAGTTTAGATTTAGTGTATTTCTGTTAAAAACTTTACTAAGTGGATTATTTCTGGGGAAATGTTTATTAATTACATGGAGGAAGTTCTGCCCTAACTTAAAATAACCATTTGGTTAAATGGAAGGAGTGAATTTCCTGTTTCTATTCCTAAATCTATGATTGCTGTAATGTTTTATATATTTGATAGCCACTATTTTTAAGTTATTGCTAATCCTATATTCTATAGAACAGGGTATTTGTCTATGGTGGAGGCTCATTAGAATTTGGATGGATGTATATTGGATTGGAATTTGTTTTCATGTAGGACTGGAATACATTATTAACTAGGTCTAATGTAACATCAAGGAAATCTATTTTAAATTAGTGCTGATCTTAACTTAAAGGTTAAGACTTTTAAACTCTATGTAATAACCATTTGGTTAAATTCCTGATTTTGTCAGCTTTAATTTTTGTGGAATTTTTCACTAACATAAGGCCATCATCTCCATATAACCCAATATTACAATGTTAACATCATCATAAGCTCTAAGATTATATACGATGAATAAACTAACAAGGTCGTAAGACACTACAGAATCTAATGATCCCATGGAAATATCAAATTGATCAACAGAATTGTTCTTAATCTGCTGTTCATTGTTGTAGATGAGAACAGATCTACAGTTCATAATAATATCAAGCTCTTTGTTGGAAAGATCTCAGTACTCCCTGGCAAATACCAAAGCAAAAAGATCAGTTTATATATTGCTCTACTTTGTATTGAGCACTTTTTAAAAAATTAAATGCTATGAACATTGGATTTTATTCCATTTGTTCTTTCCCACATTTTTATACATATACATATATATATAATTAATACCTGGCTATTCATATTTGAGGATAAGCATTTACTACAATGGTTAGCCAATCCCTATTGCAGACGCCCGCTCAAGTGCATTTGTATTTGTTCAACACCCACAGAGCCCACTTGTGGTTTATACTGCAACTATGCTGAGTAGACATTAGTTTTTGGGAGAGAGCATGTTATCTAGGATGATCAACAGTCTGAACACAGCCAGCATGCTTAAACCCTAGGTCACGATGACTTTTGACTTCGTGTTAGCACAGCCATCAACAGCCACCAAGGGTTGTATCTACCCAATTTCACTCACAAAACTTGGGTCAACCCGTGGTATAGTTTTCAGGCACTTTTCAAGGGTGCCAAACGTTGGGATTGCCCTCTCCAGACCGATAACTTCAGGAAGTCTCCTTCCTGACAAATCGACGTGGTGAGATTCAAACGCAGATGTCATGGTCAGAAAGTGAATGTTCTAACCACTCAGCCACAGTATATAGACAGCAGAACAAGAACTATCTATTCCATAGGTTTGAACTCAAAATCCCCTGAAGGCTATCTGAATCAACAGATGCCTGAAAAAGACTCGAGTGCACAACGGCCAAAATTTTATGATAATAACAACAAAGATGAGGACAATAGTCCAACTGTAAATACTGTAAATAATGAGAACTCCTCAGCCTAGAAATCCAAACAGAAATTTAGCATCCATTATCATCCACAGGTTTCATTATTTCTTGTCTCCTTTGCTTACCAACAACCATAGATTTGACAGCTGAAATTGGAGGCAACAAATCTTTTCCACTCCCCATGGAGTACAGGGCCACAACCTCACCATGCCTGTATTACCAAACTGGTTTCTGTAATATGCTGGTTCTTTACAAAGGTAAATTGCCAGTCCTATGGCCAACTAGTTTTGAATTTAGTGTTATCCTTTTCCTACACTAGTTGCCAAGTCTACTCTATGATTTAATCTATAGCTGGTAGGGAGAAGAAATTGTATCCATAAGGATAAGAAGCAACTGAAATTAAAACAAAAGAAATACTGATAAAAATGTTTATAACAATTCAAACTTTTTGTTTTAAAAAGTTAAATACCATGGACAGAGCATATAAGAAATGAGGAAGTCATAAGATGGAAACAAAAAGGACACTTATACTCAAAATGAAATTTCTTGGACATATGAGGAAGGAAGGCTTGGAGAACTTGATCCTCACAGAACATACTGAAAACATAAGATACAGGGGAGGTACAAACCACATAGCTGACAATGAATGAATGATAGAACATGATATCAGTAAGAAGATAAATGTTACTAAGAGCTACAAAGGATAGGAAGTTATGGAGAATCATGATCACCCACATCCTGAAGGGATATAGCACAGACATTCATAATTTCTTTCCTTGAACTCCAAATAATTTATATCCAAAAATATGTAGGAAGTACAAAAATATTAGTTTTTACCTAAAATCACAAAGGAAAAGTAAACCAATTTTGACATTACAAGAACTTGTTTATAAGTAAACACATGACAGACAACAAATACATTTTTATTTTGTGACAGGGTTGGGAGATAATGTGAGATGACATGCTTTTTCAGTTAATTCAAGGCTCTCCTTAAAATACACAAGAGAGGTCAACAAAGATGATTTTGACTTGTAGGCATATTTGGCTTTTAGTCTGTTTTCCAAGTGACGGTCTGGTTCCTTTCAAAAGAAGAAAAAAAAAACATTTACCTCCACTTAAGAACCAAAAAGCTGTGCTTCCAGCACTCCTCATCTCAAGACTCACTATTGTTTTTGTTGTTGTTATTATTTTGTCATTATTGTTGTTTTATCCCATACTGTACACTTTTTAATACACCCAAGGTATATTAAGTTATCTGTCAAGTCACTGCAAGGACATCAGACAGAGAAAACTTTCATCAAACTACGTGCAGTGCACAAAAGAGGAAATTTGGGGATGACTCTAAAATGGCATTGTATCCCCAGCTGATCACAGTTTTAATGGGATTGATCCCAATGCACCAGTCACCATTTGAATCACCTAGACATTCCTTTCCTGCATTCCAAACAATCTTGACATAATCACTTTCAAATCAGAGTAGTTTTCTTAATCACCTTGTTTGCTATATTTGTGTCATGGCAGTATCAATAATAGGACAATTCTTGGTGCCTTGGTAATATCTGGACAGTAAATGGTGTATCACTATCTGTCTGAAAACCATAGCCTCAGAATATTGTGGGCTCTCCAAGGTACATGCTCATACCAATTTTCTGCAAGTTGGTATAGACACAATAACCAATGTTTATAAAGGCATACCTTATTATGGCATCTCTTATATTCTTTTTGAGCTGACATTTTGCAACCATTGATCAGATGAGTCATATTATCAGAGTGTTCACCAGAAAATAATTATCATTATTATTGCCGGTGTTATTGTTATTATCATTGATATTATTATTATCATTGTCATTATTATTATTTCGATTTCTGCTATGGTCACACTACCTACCAAGTCTACCGAAAGACCTAAGGCAGGTACCGGCGTGTTTATATGGCTACATTTTATGATTTGTTTTACTAACTCCCACTAGCATTACATGGACAAATTTCTTCTTAATATGTGGGCTGTACTTATCAAGACAATTTTTTGTATTTCTCTTAAGCTGGGATTTCCAGGGATTTTTTTCAATGTATTGTGTTCCATTTTTATCTTTCTAAAATGCACCTACTATGACCAATATTATTCTTGTTTTCAGTTTCCAATTTTTTTTTATTTTGATTTCCAGGACATTATACTTCGATAACAACCAAGGAATTTGTAAAACTATGTTACAGTCAACTGGGCAAGCCATATCAATTAGTAGGCAAGTTATTATTACTATTATTATTATTGTTACTATTATTATTAGTGTTGTTTTAGTAGCAGTAGATGAAGCTTACCTATGAAATAACCTTGAGACGCAATCAAAAACTGAATTGTCACTTTAACAAATGAGGAGGAAAATTCAAATTCTGTCTCAATAAATTACCATCATCAACAGTTTTCGATCTGACTTAAGCCACTATCCAAGACTCTTTGTAGTAAAGAGCTTATTACTTATGCCAACAAAGTTATGCTTCCACTTGACTTGGCATGCTGTCTTTCTTCAGTATGATATCCCATATTATTAGCTGACTTTTAATGAAATCTCGCACCTAAATTAGGATAAATAAAAAATAAATCATTTTACTTTATTTTTCTAATAGACATTTTTAAAGTAAATTTTAGAGATATAAAGATTGAGTCATAAATAATTTTCTTTTTTGTTTATAATCTTTATTCTTCAAATTAAAGTACAATTACATTTTAATTATATATTTACCATAATTTGCAATGACTTGCTGCCACTTTCCAGGGAGCTGTTTCATTGGTTGATGGTTTTTGTTTAGCGGCATATCAATCTCTATGCATTATTTAATGCTGAAATCTATATATTTTGTATACAGTTTTTCTCTTGGGATAATAATGGTTTTAGTGATACAGGTCCTACTAATTAACCCATGTCTGGGGGAGAAGAGATGGATTCATACCTTTCCTAAAGTTATTTGTGCGAAAGTGAATATAACGAATCGAGCTGGAATAGGAACTTGGCTCTCTGATTAACCGTTCCAAGTCATTATCCATTACACTACCTGCACATCCAAGCTTGCAGCACCTGTTATTCCCAAGTGGTAACCCACCTAGATACTGAGCAGGCTCAATGTTGCTTAACTTCAGTAATTGTACAGAAACCAGTGTTTCAATAGTATTTTGACATTGTACTCTGGCCTTCTTCAGGTGATATACAATGGAATTTTGAACTGAACCCAATATTTCATCCACTGGAGTAGATTGTTCTAGTTCCACATGCCATGCCTTTTCTGGATATCCCAGTTTCAGTTATTTTCCCAAAAACACATGGCCCAGTGGATAAAAGCATTGGTTGAAGTAATCCAGTGATTTGTCCCAAGAGTTCAATACCTGTCCATAGCAGAGGGGAACAAAAACTTGAAGAGTTGGGTTACTAAAGGGAAATAACTAAAACCGAGATATCCAGAAAAGGCATGGCATGTGGAACTAGAATAATCTACCACTGTGGATGAAATAAAGGGTTCAGGTTGAAATTCCAACACATATCACCTGAAGAAGACCGGAGCATATAACAGCTGAAACGTCATGAATATAACAAGAAAGAGAACAACAGTTTGAACAATGTAAATAATTTAAATCAGGTCCTTCAAACATGTGGTCTGCTGGGCACATGTGAGCGTTTACAAGCAAACCTTTGGCCCTTGGGAAATCTTACAATGAAGAAGATTTTGTAAAACAATGCCTTATAAAAACAGCTGAAATTCTACGTCCAGAGAAAGCACATTTATTCAAAGACATTTCATTAACCAGAAACAATGTTGCTGAATGAATTGATGAAATGTCAGATGGTTGAAGATTTTATCATCAAAGTTTGAACATTTTTCTATTGTTATTGATGAGACTATTGACATCACTGGAATAGCACAGTTTGCAATCTTCATCAGGGCCTGTGATATTGAATTTAATATTTATGAAGAACTCATTGAACTAGTCTCCATGGGCACCTCGACGTGGTATAATGGTTAGTAAGCTTGTCTCACTAGAACTGTTACAAATGAGTAGCGAGTTCAATCCCACTGGGTGTTCCATGCTTTCGGCCTTGTGCCACATCTAAGCAGTGCTTAGAAAATCATTTGAACTAGTCCCCATGCAACAACAATAAGCCAGGACATCTTTGAGAGAGTTGAGCAGGTTATGCATGAGTATAGTTTTGATTTGAGTAAACTTGCATGCTTATCTACTGACAATGCTGAAAATATGGTATTACTGCCAAATTAAAAAGAAAACTAGAAAACGTGCATCCAGATTCATCATTTGCATATTTTCACTGTATTATTCATCAACAAAATTTGTGTTCAAAGATATTAAAATTAGCTTGGTCACAAAGACAGTGAACTGTATCAGAGGCAGTGCTCTCAACCACCGTCAGTTCAGTCAGTTGCTGGAAGATATAGACAATCAGTTCAGCAATGCTCCATTCTACACACAAGTGTACTGGTTGTCATGTCACAAAGTGCTGAAAAGATTCTATTTGTTGAGACAAGAAATAATTGTGCTTTTGAAAATGAAAGATCAAAACACAGATGAAATAAAAGATGAAAGTTGTCTTCAAGATCTGGCTTTTGCTGTGAATATTACTTCACAATTAACTGATCTTAATTTGAAAGTACAAGGTAAAAACAAACTTATCACTCAGTTGTATGATAACATCAAATGCTTCATTACAAAATTAAGTTTATGGAAGTCACATTTGTCAAATGAAAATTTAGTTCATTTTTCTATGTGAAGAAAGCTGAAAAACACTGCCAATACCAAAACTGTACTTAGCTTTGGTAAGTCTGACAGTCACCTGGAATATTGTCAAAGGAATATCAGAAAAGATTTAGTGATTTCTCATCTTTTGAACATCAGTTCATATTATTCTCAGCACCATTCCCCTTTGATGTTGCCAAGACAGAAGAAAGCCTGCAGATGGAAGTATTAGAAATGCAGTCAGATTCTACACTCAGAGCATAGTATCTTGAAGCAGGAATACCTTGGTTCTTTTCATATCTTCATGAAAAGTTTAAAAACTTCAGAAAGTCTGTCACAAAGATTATGGCAATGTTTGGTTCTACTTATGAAATCAAGAAAAACTTCTCAGAGAACAAGGCTAACTGATAAAAATTTGTCTGCTCTGATCAAAGTCGGAACTGCACAAACATTTCAGCCAGACACACCAAAGATTGCCAGCAAAAAGCAGTGTCAAGACAAGAAACTAAAACCTATTGAATAGTGGTAAATAAATGTTCAGTTTTGAACTGTTATAATTTTTGTACAATGCAATTGTTGCTTTTGCAAACTCCAAGTTTATGTATTTGTTGATAAATTTCTTTTTTAACTATACTTCATTACTTTGTATACATGAATCCTTCTAAAACATTTGTATGCACATTGTATGTTTCTAAATTTAAGTAACAAAATTATTAAGTAACTCCAGTTAGTTGTAATGTGCACAATTGGCTGTTGTATATGTGCTCTGTTGGCCCTTAGGGGACCTTCGGTTTGACATGCTTAGTGTAAATAGTTACAATACCTCATCTCAGAAATATAGACAAGCTATTCCTAGTTTTCTATACTTTTAGCTTTTGGAAGGTATCTTTTTTTTATTACTGTATGCCTTTAAATTTCTGTATCACATTATCTGTCTTCTGTTAAAACACTCCCCAGAGATTTCAATTTCTGGGTCACATTATCTATCCTCTGTTATCCTCTACCCAGATAGTTAATTTCTGTACTTGCTCAATTCTGACATTACCAATTTGTAGCATACATCTTAGACTCTCACTAATAAACATACCTTATCTTTTTACAAATGACAGTCCTTTCTTCTTGCTTTCCTTTACTACCTGCCTATGAGTTCTTGCAGTTTTCTTCCTGTGTCTGCCATGAGCACTGTCATCTGCATATCTTATGCTAGCATTCTGCCTACCAATAATAAATCCTGGTAGGACTTCTTTCTCTTAGGATTGCCCCCACTGTATAGGTTAAATAAATCTAATGAGAAGACAATAACATCCCTTTCTATTTTTGTGTATACACCCCATGCAAGGCAGTAAAGCCACTAAGACACAAGGGATTACAGGGTGTGGATGAATTAGGAACAGAAACATTAATAATGAGCAGGAAGAGAAAAGAGTAATCAGTTGGACAGTAGATAGCAATTGACATTGCATTTAAATTTTTGCAAATTAAAGTTGGCTGGAAAGCATGGAACCCTAAAAGGAGTTCCACAAGTGAGAAGTGCGAGAAAAGAAATTGTTAGCATAGAATTTATGGCTACATCTTGCCAGCTCATCTGTAAATTGATGAGATCTTGACATTCAGTATAGTACTGCACTTATATTCAAAAAATTTAAGTACCATAGTGAAGAGCTCATCTGAACAATTACATAAAGTACTTATAGAAAAGACCGAGAGAGAGAGACAGGCAACCTTATGGTGGTTGGAAAGTGATTGAAGCAGAGCCACCAGATCAAAATCAATAATATTGCTGATTCCTCTTTGGATCTTATCAAGGAGCTCAATGTAAATAACAGGAGCACTGGACCAAATGTGGCAGCAATACTCTAAGCATGGATGAATGCTAGACTTATAGATATGTAAGATAGATTCTGGAGAGAAACATTGTTCAGGTGCTTCTACTATATATTTTGAAATTCTTGACAAGATCCAAAAAAAGGGTCTGTAATATAATTGATCCTGACCTGGCATCTCAACCTATGACATGGCTTCCCTGTCATTTCTACAACTATTTTCATGGCAACTGCTCTGATGAGCTTTCCTCCTTGGTGTCTCAGTTGAAGGAAATTAAAAATGTTACTAGATGGGCCACTAGGTCTCACTGTTGAAATAGCTAGATGCAGCTATATATTCTATTATAATAGTTTCTTTTCTCACACTTCTCACCTGTGGAATTCCCTTCCAGTTTCTTGCATCTTTGCCACCTACATTCTTTCAAAATTTAAATGGAATATCAATCGCCATCTTCTGTCTTTGTGAACACTGTTCTTTTATTGTCCTTACTAACCCTCACTCCCTGCAACCACGTGTACCTTAGTGACATTATTATATTGTTTGGGGTGAAATGATTAAAAAGAAGAAAAAAATCAGTACATGGAAATTAAGCAGACTGAGAAATCAGTTCATTTATCAAGTTACCCGAACATTTCCAATGTCCCACTCGGCATTTCACAAATTTCTTAAACTCACTTCACCAGGAAATCAGTATCATTTTCTTTCTTTCTTTTCTTTGAGAAAGCCATACCCCACCTTACATTCACAAAAGTTTGAAGTCATACAACAGATTAATAAATATACACGATAGATAAAAAATCATATTTACTTAACCAAGCAAAAAAATAAATGTGCAACAATAAATGACATTTGAATACACTATGCCAGAATTTATTATGCAAATCAATGCTTTCACAATCCATTGGAAAATAATCAGTATATATATTGATATTTATATGAAGAATCTATCATGGGAGTTTTAGCTTAGAATATTCAACCTTAATAAGAAATACCAGTAACAATTTTGGGGAGTGTCAGGTCTTATGCAAACAAAAATTAATGGAGCATAAATGTTTTATTTATAAACTAGCTTAAAAGCTCCTGCATAGGGCTCTTGATTGGGCCTTTATCACAATAGATAAGAGTGGATGTGATAGGTAATAAACTACAGAAAAACTCAAAATTGTTTGCTGCATTTAAGTATTGCATTAATATCTAAGCTTACCTTTTAAAAGTTCAATGATAATTCTTCTGCCATCACTTAATTTAAAAATAATTTGATGTATGTAGGTCCTTAATTTCCGTACAATTATTTTTATTTCATGAGAGATTTTCACTGGATTTCACAATTAATTTCAATTATTCTCAAATTTATTTCTAAGTTATTGAAATTGTTATCATATAAAAACTTTATCACAAAATTTCACATTAAAAAAAAAAAAAACATTTCGTCAAAAACAGTTGCAGCAATGAAACTTGGGAATCAAAAATTTCAGAATTGTGGGTCCAGATCCAACCCAAAATGTTTTTAATTTGCTCACAGAGTCAGCTTGATTCCAAAATGATATGATATGTTAGGCTATGGCCTCTAGGAGTAAAGCTGAAAATACAGACAATTTTA